ATTATTTCTTACTCCTTGGCCTTGCCTTCCTGCCATTTTCCACTCCATTTGTGATCTGTTCTGCTTGTTGATCCATGCACTGTTGTTTGAGACTAAATCTGCCATCCTCTGCAAGTGCTATACAAGAGGGCAGTGTTTTTCTCAACCTTGGGAACATGCTGGCTGGGGAATTCTAGGAGTTGAAGTCCACACATTTTAAAGTTCCCAAGGTTGAGAGACGCTGCAATAGGGCAACAAGAGGAGAGGGCGTGTGATTTCTCTCTTGCTTGCTTGCAGAAAAGGTGCTTTAAATCTTGATAACTGTAACATTCAAGGTACTTATCAGGATCTCTACTTTCCCTTGACAATGGTCACCGATGTAAGGGTAATGGTTAATATGTTTTATTTGCACAAATTCAAAGCATTTTCCTATGATCTTTATGAATTTCATGAATTGTATTTTATTTTTACATGGAGCTCCAAAATGCTTGTGAATATATACTTCTGAAAAGTAATTTGCTGGGAGAACTCATCCGATGAATAAGCATATCATTATTACACAGCTAAGAAACTACAGGGTCACAGAGGTATTTGAGAGAAGTCCACAGTCCATATTTTCTTTTAAAAAACACTACCTAATTGGTTAAATCAGTTATGTTTGAGGCAATAAATGGGAAATTGGATATATTGTCACATTGCTTTCAAGTTTCACATTTGACGAGCCTGCTTTGATTGAGGTTGAAGCTTTCATTTATCCTAGGTATCTCAGCAGCTTGAAATACCCTCCAGTGACTATTAGAAAAGCTTTATTTTTACATTGATGGAAAAATAACTAATATGCTCTTGCTAGAGGTTGCTTTACTTAACTATCTGAAAAAGGTCAATATTTCTTAATGCTGGAAGGGCAGATGATGACCTTTAATATTACAAGGCATATTTGCACCCTCAAGCTCTCTCATGACTGGTATAATAAACATGCATCAAATATATTTAAAACATTTCCTATATGGTCTGCATTTTTTATCCAAAAGGGAATATGCAGTACCTGATCTGTAGGCTCCAAAGTTTATATGTATTTCATATACATGTATATTTCCACATCTGAAAAAAGTTTCTAGATTGGGCCTAAGCTATTTTAACATTCAACCAATCATCCAAATATTTGCTTATGTTAGGATCTGTGAACAAAACTCAGTAACCTGCATGTTTCCCTTCCAAATAGCTTTTCAACACAATCATTAAGTAGTTTCACTACTTGGCCCTGGACAAGGACTACCACCATTTCGGGGAGCTGGATTGTTACATTCTCGGCTTCTAGACTGTTGTCCTCCACTATCTGCAGCCCAGCTGGACCAGCAGCTCCAGTTTCCATCTACTGGAACATCTGGGGGCAGAAAAGGAAAAATAAAATTATAGTGATGTTATGAAGTCAAACAATAAGGCAATGTCAGTCCTAATGTTCATGACTCCATTTTGGTCTATACAGATTAATACATGAAACCATAATCATACATATATAATTTTTCATATAAGCTCCAGCAGAATAATTTCTGAAACAAGGAAAAATATGCCCAGAAATTTTGTAATATTGCTACCCATGTTATTAAGAGTGTCTTGCCTTGATTGAAATACAGTAGAGTGAGATTATCACCTTCTTCTGTCATTCTAGAACAAAGCAACAACATCTACAAGGTGAGTCAAAATTGGCAAGATGGTAGATGGAGGGTCTCAATGCAAGGGGAGCAAGGGGTTTCTAAGAATCCCAGTGCCTTTGCTGAAAGAAGAACCTTCTATCAAACCCAGTCTGTGGCTTCATATTTTCAACGGTGGGACAAACAGGAAGGCCAAACATTCTATTGGAGCCATTTGCTCAGTGGTTGTGCACACACATGCATGTGCAGAGAACAGAGGAAGACGTCTAAGTAGCTTTGCCTCCAAGTTTTGAGAAAGCACACTTGGCTCATACCAACACACTTGGCAAAGCACCACTTGAAATGGTTTACATAGCACAGGCCAAAGAATGATGGACAGCATGAAAAGGGAAGGACACAGACTCAGATCCCAGTCTTTTAACCCCATACATGTATCCGGATGAGGATTTGCTCTGGCAGCGTCTTAATACTTTATCATGTTAGAATGTTCATGTCTTAATGCTTTTGACATGAAGCAATTTTAATGGATTTTAATCCCATTTGGTACCCATTTGGGGATTATACGGTTATAATAAAACCAGAGGTGCAACACAAATAACAACTGGTACAACACAAGTAGAATGGGTAGCACTACAACAATGCAGTCCATAGCTAATTTGAAAAAAAGAAGTGGGGTGGAGGATGGGGAATGTCACCCTACTTTCTTACTTGTTCTTTGTGTTTCTTCACAGGCAGTACCCTGATGTCCCACGGGGCAAATACATTCACAGCGAGTCCCTGAAAATAAATAAATAAATACATACATACATACATAAAATGGGGTTGGAGGAACTTCCGAGCAATTTTCAGACCTGTGCCAAGACTACTAAAATGCAATTGAAAGGATTAATAGTGCAGATGGCAAAGGAAACAATTTCAGTCCTGCCCAAAGACATTGGTTACCACCAAGAGGACAGATGACATAGTATTTGAGCAAAGGAACCAGGGGAATGCATCTCTTGTATCTACAACTCAATACAAAATTGTACACAATGTTTATCTATCATAGGTCCATATATCCAGTGACCCAGAAACCACGCACAGGGTGAGCAAGTGTTTCGGGGGTTAAGGGTTGCACTGGGCTTTTGAGGGTCATGCTGGGATAGAGGGAACAGCTTACTTCAAGAAGTTGATGGAGCCAGAAAAAGAAAATCCCTAAACTTGATTTAAATTTAAAAATAATTACAGTTGAATTAATTAAAGAGGAATACATAATTTTTACATGATTTCCCCATCTGCTATGTCAAATATTTTCAAAGTTTTGTGGGAAGTGGGAAGGCAGCTGGACTTTGTGTACCTCAAATGATGTTGGGTGACCTACTTAAGAAGATATTTTTTAGACTTTATATATATATATATTGCTGCCTCCTCAGGGCTATGAAAATGAGTAGAATGGATGAGGTTATCAAACCTTCTGGGAAAAACAACATAGATCTAACAGAATGATATTTGTTTGATTTGTAAAACCTTCAAACACATCAAGTTCTCAGGTCTGAAAGACTGCATCTTTAAGAATCATTAAAGTTAGGTAAAACATAATATTACAGCATATATAATTTCATTAACATGATTGGCATAAAATCCAACAGCAATGATGGAAAATACATCAGTCCCAATTATATAATAAAGTATCATTTCAAATATATGTCACCAATCAAGTTTGTGGGTACATATATCCAAATCTATGGATGTATGTATTCCCAAACTTGATTTGAGTCTCCTTCAATTCCCTAAGAGTATACACTGAAATAAGCTTTAAATAAGTGCTTTAAGTTCTAGTAGGCTTAACACACCAGTTTTCAGCAATATTACACCATCATCAAAGCCTTCCAAGCTCCTACAAAAGCCAAAAATGTTAACCCTTCTGCTCCAGCCTTTTCAGAGGCATCCAAAATAATAAAAAGTAGGGTGCCTTGACCATAGGAAAATTGCTCACCCTGTTTATAGAGTGGGCTACAGAGATCAAGAGAAAAGAGGATCTGACTTGTCAAAGGTACACATAGAAAAGAATAGAATACACATAGATATACATAGGAGAACACATAGAAAAGAATGTAGGGCACTTGGGGGTAGTTGGAACACATCTCCAGCCTGTTAAAGTTGTATAGCGAGAGCTGTGGATTACTTAATACCAGCTCCTTTGATTAATAGCACAACAGAAGTAAGAAGCAGTAAGAGCACTGAAAGTGAGCGGTGGTCCACATGCTGATGTAGCATCTAGTTTTAAGCAGTTGTATTTCCATGGTTAAAGGTTGTGCATGGAAACATGCATATGGGAAGAGTAATTTAACTCAGCCAACTGGGGAGTTTTTGCAAAGGCAATTCAGGAAAAAATTATTTCAGTCACTCCGGTAGGTAGGTAGGTAGAGGGCAGGGAGGAGAGTATAGCTTAGAGAGGGAGAAACTAAAGACCCACGGCTGTTCAGGCTAGAGGGACAAAGAAGCCAAGCTAGCTAAAGGTAGCTTTCTATATCTCCATTCCTTTGACCTGGGATAAAAATTGGCTTGAGGTCCACAGTGCATCATTGGGAATATTTCTGTCTGTGTTGTAGCTATGTGTGAAGGGGCTGATTAGATTTAGACACCAGCCTTCCTTCTCTGTGCTTAGGAAATTTGTCTCCTCAGCATTCCCCCAATTAACTAAAGCAAAACCGGATATGTAATGGTGTACTACATATTTACAAAACATCTGTCTGGCCCTTAATCCAGCTTTGCTTGTCCCAGCCACAGGCCTGTTACAATTCAGAAGTGATTTCTTCCCCCTCCCCTCCCCACCCCACTAGTGTCATCTGAAACACAGGAATGGTGCAAAATGGAAACAGGGAAAAACACCCAGTGCAGAGTCTCCAGTAATGATCATGATGAAAATTTTTAGCAGTTGCAGATGGCATTTTGTCTTCCAAGAGATGGAAGAAACAGTAATTAATGGCCAGAGAGCTAGTCAGCTAGTAAACTTAGCAAAGTTATTTCCGAAAGAGATTTTAAGCAGATTGCAATGCTGTGTTTAATGCCTAATTGAGTTGGAAGAGACCTTCTTAAATGTAAATGATTAAGATTACATTACACTTGCCAAAGTGGTAGAGTTTCTTATCTTGCTGGGCTGCCAGGGAAACAATTGTGACATTTAAAGAAATGTCTCACTTTCTTACAGTGAATGGAAACAAGAGGAAAGTTGAAGAAAACTAAAGCAAACTGCACTCTTAACACAGATATCAGACAAATCAACAGAGGTTGCAACTTACCTTTCAAAAATGGGGTTCCATTGCCCCGGCACTGAGCACATCTACAGTTACTTGTTTCCTGATGGAATTCCTCCAGGGCAAGCTTCATGTTTTGTTTCAGGGCAGCAGCATTGGCAAAAGTATTTGCAGTAATTAAATTGTAAAGAGGCTGCACCTATCAAGAGCAGAGAGAGAGGGGACCTGTTAATGTCTTCTGTGTATGTACAAATATCTCTAAATACGTCCAGGCAAAGGATATGGACCACAAAGATCAATATAGTTTATGATAACAGATGGTTTCCCCAGGTTTCAGATACAGCCTTTCCCAAACCTTCCAAGAAATATCAGACTTTCCTCTAGGCAACGGAGATGGAGACAACTTCATCATTTGTGGGTGGATTGAGACTTGATCCAATGACAGTGCATTAGAACTGACATGCAGAAATAATTCATTTCACTAATGGCCTATGTTAAACTTTCATGGGAGCAGAAGTGCCAGAAGCTACCAGACATCATCAGAACTCAAATGTCTAAAAGAAATGAAGCAGTAAATCCACCAAGGTGATCTCTTTTGGAGTGTAGTAGTTACCCATCCCTGTGAAGTAGTGCAAACACAATATACCATATCCTACAATTAATTTGAAACAGATGGCAAGACAGAAATGTGGAACTATGTACATATATATAGTCATGAATGTGAGATAGGCGACTATATAAATTGGATAGATAGATAGATAGATAGATAGATAGATAGATAGATAGATAGATAGATAGATAGATAGATAGATTATCCTATCAAGATGGCTTATCCCCTCCCTTTACTCTGCAAGGAGTATCAGCCATTTCTACAGAAGTCTTGGCAGTCATATTTTGTTGTTAAAGGTACAGACTGCAGAATAAGGTGGTAAGTTGTGCGAAAGGCAACAGCAGCTACTGAGATCATGCCTAATAACATGGTGACACAGAGGAGGCAGTGTGCTATATCATTAATGACTGGATCTTCTTCTGCAGCAATGAAATAATTGTCTGGGCATCATGTGGTGCCCCAGCCAAACTCTCTAATCCTCAAAAGCACAGGGAATAAGATGTTTGCAGCTGCAAATAAACATTAGAATTGTTCTTGCCCATTAGTCCTCTGTGATCTCAGGCCATGCTAACTAATAGTACATTTCTTTTTAAAAAATTGCTGCAGTGCTTGAACTAATGGGCACTAATTATACATTACCTTTTTTCTCCTTGTAATCTACCTCCAAGAAGATGAACTGCGTTCCTAGTCTGTACTGAGAGTAGCCACTGCAAATCATGGTCCAATTTGATTCAGAAGTGCCAACTGAACTGGATTAATTCAGATTTCGAATTTGGAAAAAGCTTTTTCTGCGCACACAAGCAAAAGCATCTGAATCATTTGTACAGATCCAGAGATTTCCAGTTCAATTCACCAACTGGGTTCAACTTTTCAATTTGGCATTATGTTTCATTTCACAGCTTTGGTTGAATCAGCTTTGATTCAAGTCTCCAAACCAAAGTGGACAACCTGCCCCAAGAAACAGCTTTCCTGCAAGCAAAGCAACTCTGGCCTTATGGTGATTCACTGATGTGGCTTCCTGAAAATAATCTCATTTTCTAAAAGTCTTGTCTAATTCTTTTCCCAGAATTGGAATATTCCCAGCTTGGGAACATTTCCTATTACATATAACTGTAATTGCCTCCACCTACTTTTTCTGATTACATGTACGCTGGGCAAATTAAACTACAAAATCTCAGTAGACAAAAATTGGATAAAGCAATAGGTGACAACCTGGGAGTAAAATTTAGTTATACAGCACAATTCATTTGAGACAGAGCTTGTTTATTGGGCTCATGTTTCAAATGCTGTTAAATCTATCCATCTACCATCATTGGATTAAAATGCTTTCTGTATTGCATATTCAAGAGTTGAGTAAAATTTCTTGCTGCTTTAGTCTGGTAAATGCTAGTCATCTTCTCCCAAATAAAAATTAGGTAGGATTGTTTCTTTTCCAAAGCACATATGCTAACTTCCTTATTTATTCAGCACTGTCAACAGATTTTAAAATCAGGCAAGTTACCCATTTTCAAATTCTGGACCGATTACAGATTTCATATTTGATTTCTACTCCCAATACGGGTTAATGTGTGAACTCATAGGCTTAGATCCAGAAAGGCTTTGGCAAAAGCACTCAACCAAAAAAGGACTTATCCCCACCAATGCTTCAGCAGCCACTCTGAATCAAAAAGGGGCCACCTAAACGGAGTGAGAAGATTATTAAAAACGACACAGTGCTGCTATCTGCAGCTCAATTCAATTTTCAGCATTTCTTCTTTCATCCTCAACACCTGCATCCCATCCCACTCCATTCGGTAAAATCTTCTGGTTCTCAGGAGTTTCTTTTTGGCTTCCACTAGCAATGATCTGTATTCAAACTTTAAAAGTGATCATTCTTTTCAATCGGGTAAAAAAATCACCCCACCAACTTGATCCTATTTTTTCCCCCATCCTGAGTATTGTTGAGGCTGGTTAATGCAACTTGCTGTGGAATGAATACTTGACACAACCTTCATTTGGATGATTTCAGGATTGTACTGAACAGCATCCCCCCACTCTTGCATCAGTTCTGCATTGGGCAAGTCTTTGTTTGCAAGTGTTGTAATGTGTTCACTGGCCCCTCCACGAACAAGAGCAATAAAGTCTTCCACAAATTTCTTTTCTGATGTGGCATCTGTGGAAAAATAATCAAGGCATTGGTTTAAAGTTTTGTACTCGCATGTTCACCTGGTAATAGCTCTAATGTCAAGAACTGAATTGCCTGACATAATGGTGCAGATCGTGCCATTCTTATCCTTCAGACAGCTGGCTGACACTGTTAATAATAAAGGAAAGGAAAACCAGTAGTTCTTGGTGTCCCTTTCCCCAGAATTTTCACTTTCTCTGGTCTATAGTACTCTGGTTTGCAAATAGCAGAGGTCCAGAACTATGTGATACAGAAAGGGAAAACCATATAACTGTCTTTCTGGAGTTTGCCCTTCCCCGAAGTCCAAACAGTGCTACTAGACTCCAGACTGCTCCAGGCTATCTAGAAAAGATTTTAGATATTGCAATATTGTGCTACAAGTCCTACTTGCCCATTTTAGATTCAATGTTTTAAAATAGTAACAACTTAAACATTGATGCAAATACATGGGCACCTGTAGAAACTTCCTGCTTTTGCCAAAATGGTGAGAGAAGTATTGTGCCATTGTGCTATAAGTTCCACCCCCTTTGTGACATCATTCTTTCCCCTACCTTGTTACAAAAGAAAATTGCAACATTATTAATATGATCATTAGTATTACTATTACTGTCTGAAACAGATTGGGTTATTTCAATCAAAATAAATTTCACAAAGTGGTTACTTTTATAATATTTTATCATTCCTCTGTTTACTTGAAATGCACCTGTGTGAAACTGCTTGCAGCTAGATTGATGGATGGATGGATGGATGGATAGAGATAGATAGATAGATAGATAGATAGATAGATAGATAGATAGATAGATACATAGATAGATAAATAGATAGACAGACAGACAGACAGACAGACAGACAGACAGACAGACAGACAGACAGATAGATAGATAGATAGATAGATAGATAGATAGATAGATAGATAGATAGATAGATATAGATGGATG